TATAACTCCTAAAATTATGCCTTCATTTTTAGGGTAGAGCTGAATGATATGGCCTCTGATCTCTCCTGTGTTCAGTCATGCAGATAGTCATGCAACAGAAATGGCCCAGAACCAGCAATCATCTGGTGTTAGCAGAGGAAAGTTGGCTTTTGAATTAATAATAAAAGCCATATTAATTTCACTCATCATATTATATTAGACTGATTAATAGACTAAGCAGGTGTAAGATAGGACTGGATATAGCTCACATCCCAGTTTTGTTTCTAATCTTCTCATCCCAAATGATTTTAGGAGCGTTACATAGTATTCTCTGCCCTGGGTTCCTGAACAGAAATGAGCAGATTGTCTACCAGCCACTGAAATCTTAAGAAGATTAATTAAAATGTGCTTGAGCTTTTATTTAAAAAAAAGATATTTAAGCTAAAGGACTGTTAATATGATTGCTACCTACAAAATATTTTGATCAGGTCTGAACTGACTACAGTGGGTTGGTAATAGTGCCCTTGGGTTTCATAGTTGGGCTTAATTAAATGGAACTTTTGTTTCTTCATAAATGAAGCAGGAATCTTAAGACAGACAAATTAGCCCTACATATGTTATTTCTATATGAAGTTAAAGTATTTCTGAAGCAGAAACTTTTCATTAGTTTCAAGGTCCTGAATTTTCTCCACAAAATTTCTTTTGGTGGTTTCCTTTAATCCTTCCTCTTGGGGAGCAATTATGAAAATAGATGCTGGTTGCAGTGAGTGAGGGGACTAAAGGCCAAATGAAGAAAACCAGGTTGGAATGAATTAAGATGACTTTACAGAGGCACATAGAAAGACATTGTTTCCTCAAATGACTGAATGTCAATGGGAGAACATTTATCTGCTGAGTACAACCATATGCTTAGAAGCATTTATCACTGTTCTGTAGCTCCTTCTTATTCTTCCCACATTCACTGTGGCCAGAAGAGATGTAGAGCAGTGAGAGTACATTCTCAGTAAATAATTATAGCGATGCATGCTGTAGTTCACACTTGACAGTGGCATTTCCATATATGAATTACCATGGCTATGCCAATCAACCATATCAACTCCTTGTAGGATAAGCTTTGGCATGCCGATTGCCTTGGTCCAGAGCACCTTTCTTCCTTATTAAAATGGTTCCATCAGACTTGGTGCTTTTGATTTGTGAGGTTGAAATCCCAGTGACACTGTCTCTTACTCTCAGACAGTGATCTCAGACCCAATGGTTGCTAAAACCTGTCCACTTTGGAAGGCCAAAATTCACATGGTAGTCGGAGACTTTCCTTCCTTTCCACAAGCTGCTTTGTGGTATTCCAAAGACTGGTATAACAAATTCCCTCCCACAACTGTGTAAGTGTTTTTCATAACCTGAAGTAAGAAGAAGCAGTGTGGATGGAGCCCTCAGTTACTCTGCAGTCAGATACTTCACAATATAGCAATGATGTCAGAACTTCTATTGTGGTCATTACCAAATACATGCTGAATTATCATAATATAAACCTAGAGACCATTGTAAAAAAAAAAAAAACCTTTGTTGCCTTAGATGGATTATTTCAAAACAGCATAAAATCTGCTGTGAACATGACGTGGTAACAAAGGTATATAGGATCTGAATTTCCAGAGATGATTAGCATGCAAACACAGTGGATATTTAAGGTAGCTGCCCACTCATGACTGATAGAATGTGGCCAAGAAAGCAGTAGGTCATGTCGGCGCCGCCTAATTAGTTCACACATATAATAGTCCTTTAGTGTGATCATTGATATAGGTAGAGAGGGGCCACAAGGCAGAAACTGCTTTTTATTTTTAAAGTATTTAATCTAACAAATGGTTTCAGGTGTGCTGCCAGAGTTTGCTCAGTTGAACACAAAGTGTCTTCAATTTACACAGCTTCGATTATAAGGCCATCTTCTCAGATACAATTGAACAGAAAGTCTGCCTTGAACCTTTTGAATTACACTGTTCTGAGACTATAGCAGAGATGAACAAAGTACAGGAGCTGCAAAGTTAATGTGACTGTCATTGGGCAGCTATCTCAGGTCTAAAAATGAATCCATGTTTTTTGTTAATGGAGCCACAGTGAGGGAAAATACCTTCCTGGGTAATTTTATGAAAGGAGAACATATCCCCAGTAGTAAAGGCTTAGCAAGAAGTAGAGTGTTTTCAAATGCAAATTTTCTGACATTTTTTCAGCTACAAAAATAATTACCATACCTTGGTGACTTTAACTTAGTTAAAGGTTTCATTTAGTATATAACCAACTATAATGCAAAAGGCACATACTCTGATAAACATTATTTCCATTTTAGGACTTGCCAAGGGTAGATTTTTTCCTCTTCTCTTTCTCCACGCATTGGAATGTCATAAGCAATTAGATGAAATTATTTATGTGAAATGAAAAGGTAAAAGCATAAAGCAGCGCTGTGCACATCAGATGCAACTGGCATGCAATGCAATCTCCACTATGAATATGGTGTCTTAATGAAGTGATCGTTCTTCGAAATTATCAAACTGTCCTGTTGTGTAAACGGTTTTATTTAATAAATGTTTTGGAACCAAAACCGTTTCACTTTTATGTATCAATGGGAAAACTACATTAAGAATTGCAAAGCTTAAAAGAAAACTTTTAAAGTATTGGCATATATTTGGGTCTCTTAATATCCTGTGTCTAGCACAGTATTGGGTAGCCCGTAAACATTCTGCGGGATTGAATTGGGAAAAGTCACCTTAAGGCATAGGAAAACTTTTGAGAAGCAATTTGGCAAATATGAATCAAATACTATAAAACTGTTTATGCTGCTTTGACCCAGTAATTTTACTTTAGTGAACTTATGCTAAGAATCTTAAATACTAAGAAAGGCTATACATAAGGATGTTTATTGCAATGTTACTCATAATAACAATATAATTAGGAACAACGATTTCTCTTTCGTTGAGTATTATGTAAAGCAAATCATGACATATCAACTGAAAGGAACATTATGCAGCCAAAAAATCATACTTGTCAAAATGCAATGTAGAACGTTCATCTCATGTAACAGAAGTGCAAAAAGCCTGATACAAAATTGTGCAGTAGAACTGCAATCATGTAAAAATTAAATAAGCATACATAGAAAAAAGACCGAGGAAGCATATGAAGGTGCTAGCATAGATTGTGTTTGGATGGAAGTGTAATTTTTTCATATCTTTTAAATAATCTATAATTTTTAAAAAAGAAACTCTTGAATTTGTACACTCAGTTGTTATACTTAACAGCTGGTTGCATTAAATTGAACTCTTCTTCTCACTCCCCAAACTGTTTTTTATATAGATACACTCATAATGGTTAATTAGTCACAAACGGGAAACCAGTCTGGCTAAAGTACATAAACTCTAATTAATGTAGACCTCAGTAACTGGAGATTAACAGAAGTTCGCAGATCTGAGATTCTTACAGAATAAAAATTCCTTGACAAGTAAAATATTAGGATGTTTTATTATGCAGTCAATCCTACTTTGTTTTGTCGAAATTGGCATATAACAAATTATAGCTTTTAGTGAGGTTGTTTAACTTTCTGTAAGTGATTATTTGTAATTGTAAAGGTTGATATATAATGTATGAAAACAGCAAAAATATTTAAATAAGTTAACACAATTATTTAAACAACAACAACAAACCGAAAGCTAATTTGCCTGGTCAAGTATATGAAATAGACAGTATGTTTGCTCCAGCAGATTAAGCTCAAAATACACGGGAATCCCATGATTTGTTTCTAATTAAAATGTTTTTATAAACATAAACATTTATATATAATTGACACTGAAAGGAAAGGTAAGTAAACTTTTGCTTCACCCACTATCACAAATATGTTGAAAAACATAAAAGGAATTTTTATATAATCTTTTCTAGATGTTTTTTTCTCCCTCTAAATGCAACCACTAAAAAGTTAATAACTGGCGGAATCAGTTATTTTGGAACTTAAAAATGCAACAACTCTTTTACTTACTCTGGACATTTTCAAACCAATACTTCAATTAAAATGTTAATTGTCTGAAGCTATGTCATCCTTATGGAAGAACCAAACATTATTGGTTTCAAATGTCTTAAAAAGCCTGAATATGTTATAACGACTGGGTTTATTTTTAAAAAAAAAAAAAAAAAGTAAAGCTTTCTTCAACAGGTTTTTAAAAAATAACATTATTTTTCTTAAATATGCCTAATTAGTTGCTTGCTTTAATTTTAAGTTTATTTGAAGATTTGCCATAAGAACATTCACTGCCTCATTCTTTTATCATACAACTTTTGAGTTTGTCATCATGAACTCTGAAGACAAAGCCCACTTGCTATTTTTTAAGGAAAAGCAACTCATGATTTAACTCTGAGAAAGCAAGAAATACATTTTTTGTTTGATCATAAATAGCTTAAAACACTAGCTTCAAAAATATTAGCTTCATGGGCGCCTGGGTGGCTCAGTTGGTTAAGCGACTGCCTTCGGCTCAGGTCATGATCCTGGAGTCCCAGGATCGAGTCCCACATCGGGCTTCCTGCTCAGCGGGGAGTCTGCTTCTCCCTCTGACCCTCTTCCCTCTCGTGCTTTCTATCTCTCATTCTCTCTCTCTCTCAAATAAATAAATAAAATCTTTAAAAAAAATATTAGCTTCAATTTTTAGATTTTGTCAGTTTTAAGAGATAAATAGAATGGTTTCATGGATCACTATTGTTATTGATATTAGTAATACGAATTTGTATTTAATGTTTTATAAAAGCAAAAAGGATGCATTCATCTCTATTTTGTTAACATAAATTGCACTTAAAATTATGTAGCAAATAAATATTCAGTCAAGTGAAAATCATTTCTGACAATCATTCAATCAATCAATATAATTCAGGGCCTACCATATACTATCCCTCTGAGATACAGTGGTGACCTTGTTCATTTTGAATTTCACTTCTGCAAATAGATTTTATAGATAAGCAAATTTTAAAAATAAACAAATATTTAAATAACTTACCTTTGATTCCTTGAACTTGGAGGAAAATCCAAAAAACAAAAATAGCCCTTCTAGTTTCCAAATACATTCTGCCTTTGTGCATTGGTAATTCCGATAACAATCACAGAACAGTTCCAAATCTCATTTAAAAAAATAAAATGACAGAAATATGAGAAATAACTAAATACTGATGCCAGCCGAGTGAGAATAACCTTGGTTTACCTTTATAAAAGTGCTAATTTATGAAGAACATGAAGCAGTATCTGTTTCTGGAATAATCTGCTTATCTTCCCCTCAGGTATAATCTCTGCTTAAGGGCCAGCTGCAGGAACCTTTATCTCATTAACCTTCTGGAGAAGCATCTGTCAGCCTTAGCTCCAGGACCCTGAATGCCATTATAAACAAGTGTCCACAGGCAGAAGAAATGCTTTTTTCTTAGTTATTCACCTGTTACAGTGACATAGAGAGCCAGGGGAAGTCTTGCCAAATGGAGAAGAAGGCTGACAGGATCAAATGTTTTCCAAAGTGACATGCTCAAGGAACATCCATTGAAAGAGCTTAATTGCTATCCCTGGAAGTATGTAGTTTTTCACTACGTGTTAGTCTCCAGAGACAGCAAAGCTGTCTCCATTCTCATAGAAAAGCACTGCTTTGTAAATAGCTTTCTTTCTGGCATTACATGCAGATAACTTTTTTGGTTTAAGTTTGATTTTAATTTTTTAAAATCTGTTTTTCAGGGCGCCTGGGTGGCTCAGTTGGTTAAGCGACTGCCTTTGGCTCAGGTCATGATCCTGGAGTCCCGGGATTGAGTCCCGCATTGGGCTCCCTGCTCAGCAGGGAGTCTGCTTCTCCCTCTGACCCTCTCCCCTCTCGTGCTATCTCTCATTCTCTCTCTCTCAAATAAATAAATAAAATCTTTAAAAAAATAGATAAAATCTGTTTTTCATACACAGAGTTTAAAAAGTTAGTTTGTGAAAAGTAATGGTGCTATTCCTCCATTCAAAGGAAACCACTTTTAAGTTTCTAAACTAACTCTAGTATTTTCATTTGTACCTCTACATAGTATGCTTCTATTACTATTTTTTTGTTTTCACTTTTAGGCATTATCAAATAATAGATATTGACCATATCTTTCCCTCTACACACACATTCCCTGCTCTCCCTAAACACGTAATCATCCTCCTATCCACCTCAATATTATTGTATTTTCAGTTTATTGAATATTAAAGTTTACATTTCTGTGACTGTATACATGTTACATATAGCTGAGCCATGGAGTATACTATAATTACTAACATGTATTGAGCTCTTAAGTTGTGATCGACACTGCTTTTAGACATTTCCATAGGTTATCCATATATTCCTTAATACAATGTTATGGGGTGTATACTATTATTAGGATCTGAAGCTAAAGTATATATGGCAGAGTCCGTATTTGAACCCAGAGTCTGGGTTTCAGAACGTATACTTCAACTGCTACCCCCATGATGCTTTTTGCAATTTTCTCATATTTTTTCCCCTTAGATTTTACATACAAAACAATAAATTATCCCCAAATGTTACCCCAGATATGTAAATTTCCTTTTCTTATGGTTAAACATTTCAAATAACCTGTCTTTCCCAGGACCTGTTCCTGCTAACCCCCTCCAGTCTGTTTTGTTTCTTTTCTTGCTCACAGTAGTCATCTGGGGATCCTCCTTTACAGTCAGGTTGGGGATAGCTTTTACCTCTCTGGTGTTGGGTCCTGAGTTTTCTGGATTCTATGTTGCCTTCTTTCTTAACCTAATCTCTTGTTTTAGCAGAGCATATGCTCCAGTTTATTGCTGAAAGTTCACAGTATTTGAGATCTTATATGTTTAAAAGTGGCCTCCATCTATACTCATACTTGATTGATAGTTTGGCCAGTGTATAGATTTAATGTCCGTGTCCTCCTAAAATTCGTATGTTGAAAACCAACCCCCAGTGTGATGGTATTTAGAGGTGGGGCATGTGGTGAAGCCCTCATGAATGGGATTAGCTCCCTTATAAAAGGGGCACCAGAGAGTTCCTTTGCTCCTTCCATCATGTGAAGCACAGTGACAAGACCAGGTTATGAACCAGGAAGCAGGCTTTCATCAGACACTGTCTATGCCTGCATCTGGATCTTGGACTTCCTAAGCTCCATCACTAAGAAATAGATTTCTGTTGTTTATAAGCTACTCAGTCTTTGGTATTCTGTTATAGCAGCCCAAATGGACTAAAGACGACTGAATAAAGAATTCTAGGTTGGAAACAACATTCACTTATTACTGAAGACATTAATCTATTGTCTTCTAGTTTCTTGTGCTACTAAAACCTGAGGTCCTTTTTGTTCTTGGTTCTTTGTATAGGATCTTTCTAGAAGATCTAGAAGAGCTGTCTCTCTGAGAAGATCTCTTTGAGAGAGACAGAGACAGAGAGAGACAGGGTGCCAGAGAGGGAGAGAGCGCTTCTCTACTGCCTGTTTAAGATTTGTCCTTCTAGGTCTGCTACCATTCCATCCGTGTTTTAGGACTTTGCTTAAACCTACATGTTCAGCTTAACAAAATTTTTATAAAGTGAATACTCTAGGAATGTCTGGTAAAAATATAGAATATTAATAGCACCTTAGAAGGACCCATGGTCCCCCACTCAGAAACACAAACCTTTCTTCTCCATTAAACATAGTCATTATTCTGATTTCTATGGTAATCACTTACTAGCTTTTCTTTATACTTTTACTACTCACCTACACATGTGTAGGCAGTTTTGCCTATCTTACCACTATTTATCGAAAAGATTATTTCCTCTACTGTTCTGAAGTTCTACCTTGGTCACAAATCAAGAATACATGTGTTTGTGGGTTCTCTTTCCTGTTTGTCTATTCTTGTGCCACACTATCTTAATTATTGTACCTTTTTATTATATGTCTTCACATCTGCAGAACAAGTTTTCCCATTTTGTTTCTCTTCAAAATTATCTTGTTTACCTTTGGTGTTTTGAATTTTTATATACATTTCAGGGTCATATTGTCAAGTTCCACAAAAAAGTTTGCTAGGATTTGTAAATAGGTGGTGGGGATTAAGGAGTGCACTTGTGATGAGCACTGGGTGTTGTATGGAAGTGCTGAATCGCTATATTGCACACCTGAAACTAATGTTACACTGTACATTAATTGGAATTTAAATAAAAACTTGAAGAAAAAAGAAATTACATTGGACTACAGATAGATCAATTTGGGGAAATTGACATCTTTACCATACTGAATTTTCTAATTCATGAATATGATTTGTCCATTTATTTACTTAGGTTTCTTAAATTTTGTCTTACATATATTTGATTTTTTTCTAAGTATTTGATATTCTTATTTTATTGTAAGAAGTATTAAATTTTATTTTCCAATTGGTTATTGCCAGGATATAAAAACATGATGGATTTTTGTATATTGATGCTCTGTGCAGTGATCTTGAGAAATAAATTTATTAATTATAATGATTTATGCATTTATTCTTTGCAATTTCCTATATATACTTTTGTCATCTATAAATAATAAGTTTTTTCTTCTTTTTGTATTCATTCTTATACATTTTCTTCCTTTTCCTTGCTTTTCTGCACTGGTTAGGACCTCTAATAAAGTGTTGAGTAAAATGGTGATGGCAGGTATGTCTGTTTTTCTGGTTCCAAAAAGAAAACTTCCATTTTATCATTCAGAAAGATGTTTGTAATAGGCAAGTGTTTAGATAACCTATTATGGAATAAGGAAATTTCCTTCTTCCTAGATTGTGAAGTTTTTTTTTTAAATAATGAATGGCTATTGAATATTATTACTTGATTTGTATATCTTTTGAAGTTATCATAGATTTTTCCCCTTTATCTCTTAATGGGTAAAGTACATTTATTTTTCTAATGCTAAACCAACCCTACTTTCTTAGAATAAGACTATGTTGGTTATAATGGGTAGTGTTCTGTATATAGTGCTGGATTCAGTTTGCTAACTTTTTAGTCCCTTAAACATCTATGTTCATGAATAAAATTGCCTACAATATTGCTATCTTATAATATACTAGTAGATCATTCTCATAAAAGTAGTTGAAGAGTGTTAATTCGTTCTCTAGTCTATGAATAGTTTTATGTCATATTAGTAATAAGCCTTACATTTCACCAGTAAAGCTTAGATTTTTCTTTGTGATAGGATTTTAAATTTTGGATTCACTTTATTTATTTATTTATTTATTTATTTGAGAGAGACAGGGAGAGAGAGAGAGAGCACAAGCAGGGGGGAGGTTTAGAGGGAGACACAGATTCCCCGCTGAGCCGGGAACCTGATGCAGACTCCATCCCAGGACCCTGGGATCATGACCTGAGCTAAAGGCAAACGCTTAACTGGCTGAGCCACCCTCATTTTATTTTTTTTAAATGTATTTTATTTTTTTAACTCCAAGCTTTATGGAGACACAATTGACATATAGTATTGTGTAAGTTTAAGGTATACAATGTGATGATTCGATATACATATAATATTGAGAAGTGATTACCACAATAAGGTTAACTAACACAGCCACCACTTCACCTAGTTACTATTTTGTTTGTGTTTGTGTGTGTGTGTGTGGTAAAAAGATTTCAAGATTTACTTTCTTAGTAACTTTCGTGTACATACTACAGTATTGTTAACTGCTGTCCGTCATGCGGTACATTACGCCCCTAGAACTTATTCATCTTGTAACTGGAAGTTTTTACCCTTTGATTGCCAATTTCTCACCACCTTCTGCCTTCCCCACTGGCCTATTTCTACTTTTTCTATGAGTTTAATTTTTTAGGTTCCACATATAAGTGTGACAATACAGTATTTTTTTTTCTGTCTTATTTCACTTAGCATTATGCCCTCATGGTCCATCCATTTTGTCACAAATGTCAGGATTTCCTTATATTTTATGGTTGAATAATACTCTAGTGTATGTGTATTTATAGTGTATGTATATCTATCATATTATATCACATTGTGAATAATGTGGCATTGAACATAGAGGTGCAGATATCTCTTGACATAGTGATTTCATTTCCTTCATATATATGCCCAGAAGTGGAATTGCT